CTAGAGTGAGTGCCGTGGCATCAGCCTAGCTCACAGCAACCTCAAACTCCTGGCCTCGAGCGATCTCTGCCTCAGCCTCCCGAGTAGCTGGACTAAGATGCGACTCGGCTATTTTTACATATATATCACTGCCATTAATTTCTTTATTATAGTAGAGACGGTCTCGTTGCTCAGGCTGGTTTCGACTCCTGACCTTGAGCAATCGCCGCCGGCCTCCCAGAGAGCTAGGATTACAGGCGTGAGCCACTAAGTACAATATATCTAAAAAAAAAAAAAAAAAAAAAAAAAAGAGCATCTACACGATAAGATTATGGGGATTAAATTATGTTTATTGCACAGTGCCTAACACAGTAAGCTTTCAATAAATGGCACTATTATTAACTAATTAATTAAAGTAGAGAAACATATTTGCCTTAAGTTACTTTGTACGCTAGGAGAACCACCCAAACTTCAGGTTAAGTCATTCTTCTATTCCATGTTCACATGGTATTAAACAGCTTCATTACTCCCTTACTGCACTTCTATCTAATTTTTATGATTTGATTTACATAAGTACCTGATAAATAGGCCAAAAGAACAAACTAGTTCTTGTAACAGAAAAATTACCATTAAGTATGATAGGTTGCATTAGTCCAGAAACATTTTCCAAATAACCATCTGGTTGGTGGTACCAAGTTAAATTTTTGTATCTTAAGTCAGACCTTAACTTACCTGTGAAGTACAAATTCCTGCTGAGTAGTTATTTTAGCTATTGACTTAATACTAATAGAGAAATCATAGACTAAAAATTTTAGACAAATGCAGTAATAATATACAAGGCTCATGAACTACAGAACTATAAGGCTACTTGTGATGACTTATGAAGATAATGAATGAGATCATAAGAGATAAAGATGGTTTCAGAATCTAAGTCACAGGATGTAGAACTTACAATGAAAGGCAGTTATTCTCCAAAAGTTTTATCTCACATACCTTTATCCCCATAATCCCCAGCTGTCAGTTCATATTTTTTAGGCAAGAGAGCAACTCTCAGAGCTTTATGATCAGCTACACTGACAAGTTGACATACAGAGTTTTTAAGGAACATGGACACATGAATGGTGCAGGAAGGACATTTATTTTTTTTTGAGACAGAGTCTCACTTTGTTGCCCAGGCTAGAGTGAGTGCTGTGGCATCAGCCTAGCTCACAGCCTGTACTTTTAAAGAAACAAAGATTTAAACAGAAATTAAATGTTATTGTTCTACATTTCAACCACTACTATTAAAAATCATATTAGTTTGTAGTTTTTTTAAATTAGTTTTTGTAAGTTCATAGAAAAAACAGTGGATGCTAAAATAAACCAACAAATCCTATCATTTTTGTTATATCCTTTTATTTTTTCTATAACTTTCATTCCTTCTTAAGAACATCTTTTCTTAGGAAATAATATTGTTGACTCCAAGCTTTTTAGATGTTTTTTGCTAAAAATTCTTTAAGTAACCAGATAATACTTATAACAGCCCTATGTTGGTACAAGGACAACTGGGTTTTGGTTTTTTCTGTGTTTTTTAACCTTTTTTAAAAAAATTTTGTAGAAATAGGGTCTGGCTATCTTGTCCAGGTTTGTCCGGAACTCCTGGCCTCAAGCAATCTCCTGCCTCAGTACTGGGTTACAGATGTGAGCCATCATGCCCAGTAATGATTTTTTTTTTTTTTTTTAACATCTAGGAAAATAGTTCACAGATTGGGGAAGTAGAAGGTGAGACTGAAAAAGAGATTTTTAATAAGAAATAAAATATACATACTTATCCATGCCTCTCCCAAATTCTGATTTATCTACTTCCTCTCATGGTTCCTTGCCACCTTTTTCATTATAAAACACCATTTCGGAGAATGTAATAAATTAGAAAAGTACATAACCTCACTCTTCCTGCTGGTGCGGTGGGTCATCCCTGTAAGTCCTAGTACTCTGGAGGCTGAAGCAGTGAAGAATTGCTTGAGGTCAGGAGTTGGAGCCAGCGTGAGCAAGAGTGAGACCAATCTCTACCAAAAAGAAAAAAGTTAGCCTGCATGGTGGTGCATGCTGTAGTCCCTGCAACTTATGAGGCTGAGCAGGAAGGATCGTTAAGCCGCATGAGTTTGGAGGTTTAGTGAGCTATGATGACACCACTGCACTCTAGCCTGGGCAACAGAGCGAGACTCTGTCTCAAAAAAATAAGTTCCTGGGAGGCTAAGGAGGGAGGCCTCGCTCAAAGTCAGCGAGTTCAAACCAACCTGAGCCAGAGCAAGACCCGTCTCTACTAAAAATGGAAAGAAATTAACTCAGCCAACTAAAAATATATAGAAAAATTAGCTGGGCATGGTGGCGCATGCCTGTAGTCCGGCTACTCAGGGAGGCTGAGAAAGAGAGGATCCTTGAGCCCAGGAGTTTGAGGTTGCTGTAAGCTAGGTTGATGCCATGGGATTCTAGCCAGGGCAACAGAACATGAGACTCTGTCTCAAAAATAAATAAATAATAATAAATAATAAAATAAATAAAGCAAGCAAGCAAGCTTCATTTTTGTTTTAATCATTGGAAAAGTATGTTTTTTCTGTAATTCTACTTTAAAAGTATTAATAGTTAGTGCTAATATATATGTAATATGCATGTTTAAACTTTATAAATGAATCATTATTCATATAAATAAGCACTCCAGTATACACAATCTATTTGTGGAACTACTTTTTTTTTTTTTTTTTTTTTTTTTTTTTCTTTGAGACAGAGTCTCGCTTTGTTGGCCCAGGCTAGAGTGAGCCGTGGCGTCAGCCTAGCTCACAGCAACCTCAAACTCCTGGGCTCGAGTGATCCTTCTGGCCTCAGCCCTCCCGGTAGCTGGGACTACAGGCATGCGCCACCATGCCCGGCTAATTTTTTATATATATATATCGTTGCCAATTAATTTCTTCTATTTATAGTAGAGACGGGGTCTCGCGCTCTTGCTCAGCTGGTTTCGAACTCCTGACCTTTGAGCATCGCCCGCCTCGGCCTCCCAAAGAGCTAGGATTAACAGGCGTGAGCCACAGCGCCCGGCCCTGGAACTACTTTTAAATTTTATACTTCAGGTGCTTGTCTTATATTAGTAGAAAATGTCAATCACGTTTTTTCTTTGTACCTCTTAAATTTAGTGGGCCAAATTTTAATTTTTCTTTCCATGTCCCCCTCTCCTCCTCCTCTTTAGTCTAACAGTTTTAGCAGTTCATTTTAAATTGACATTTGCTTTCACAATTCAGATTATAGAAAAATCATTATAGATATATAATTATAATACTTTCATGGGTTTCTATTTGGCTAAAAGGATAATCCCTATACGGTGTTTCGGAACAGTAAGATAATATATTTTAGGTATGTTTTTACTCAAAAATAAAATTTAATAGTGACAACTCATCTATAATACAAATTTATAGAATAAAAAAGAGATTTGTTCCCTTTGAAATATGTAAAATATGATGTCTCACTGTGCATTTGAATTGCCCTGGTTGTGATTACAGAGCTCAAAATAAATGAGTTTGTTTTTTGTAGGCCATTTAGCTAAAGGCAACAAATAATTAAAAAATGACTTTGCACTTTAGGAATTTTTGGTTCTGATTTATTCAAAAAGAGCTGGAAGAATCTTTGAGAACCCGCTTAGTGAAATACTCCCTAGACCTTTATACCCCAATACAAATGATTTGGAGTTGATAGAAGAAAAAAAACTCTTTGGAAATTTATTGGTGGAATAGTTATTATTATGAAAATTTGTGAAATTATTCTTAATTCATACTTTCTTGCTTTTTTGCAAGGAAAATGCATATATTTTATTGACATATTTAGAACTGCTTTGATAAGAAGTTGGCTTAAACATATATCTAGAGTGTTTCTTTGTAGCATCATCAGTTACTAATATAGCATATTTTATTATTATAAGGTTAGTGGCATTAGAAAACACATTTGGGAGTTATTTTCAAAATGATTATTGGAAAAGATGCAAATGTCATTTGTGTACTATAAAAGGACAGGGGGAATTGGTAATCATGAATGAAGATACTCAAAGCTTAGCTTCTTTCCTGATACCAATTTAAAGAAAATTGGTGCTTTCAGACAATATTTAGAATTTAGTTATTGTTTTTAAAAATCAGGAATATGAGAATGATTATAGAACAGTTATTTAATGATTCTTTGAGCAGGGCATTTGCGTGACAGCTAATAAATAATGCATATGAGAGTGCACTTTGGTTTCCTGTACCACTTTATAAAATGTCCTTCCTGGCCGCGCGGTGGCTCACCCTGTAATCCTAGCACTCTGGGAGTTGAGGCGGGCAGATCGCTCGAGGTCAGGAGTTTGAAACCAGCCTGAGCAAGAGCGAGACCCCATCTCTACTATAAATAGAAAGAATTTAATTGGCCAACTAATATATAGAAAGAAAAAATTAGCCGGGCATGGGTGGCGCATGCCGTATTCCCAGCTACTTGGGAGGCCTGAGGCGGGATGCTTGAGCCCAGGAATTTGAGGT